TCCTACACACTAACCTTCGGGTTCTATTCTAACCTTCGGGTTTTGTACTAGAAGATTGTGATCCTCCTGTTCCTGTACTATCCTGTTCAGAAACAATGACAGGATCTGACATCTCTTCTACTGCAATTACTACCCCTACTACTGCTGATATTTCTGCTCCCAAAGTTGTATTGGGAACCACTGTGAAGTTAAATGGCACAAACTATCTTCTTTGGGCTCAGGCCTTTCGCATTTTCATTGGAGCTCAGAACAAATTAGCTCATCTTCTGGCCCCTCCTCCTGCTTCTACTGATCCTACGTATACTGCATGGATCTTTGCTGATTGCTGTGTGATGACTTGGCTCCTTAATAACATGGACGCCCAAATCAGTAGCAGTGTCATGTTCTCGAACACTGCTAAGAAAATGTGGGATAATTTAAAAATTATGTACGGGAATGAGAAAAATGCATCCCGTGTATTTGAGTTGTATGAACGTCTTTTCTCTCTTCAACAGGGCGATCGCTCTGTACCCGAATATTTTGGTGAAGTAAAGAGTCTGATCGATGAATTAGAAATGCATCAGCCCGCTATTACGGATGCCGCGACACTGTTGGGATATCGTAGGGACCTTGCTGTCTCTAAGTTCTTGTCCGGTCTGAGTCCCACCTTGCAATCTCAGATACGGGGCCAAATACTAGGGGGAGATACTATCCCCTCATTGACTGCTACTTTCTCTAGAGTTATGCAAGTAACTACTGGAGTACCTACTGCTTCTTCTACACCGTCCGCTCCATCGCTTGATCAGTCTGCTATGTTCTTCGGACGTGGCAGAGGTCGTGGTCGTGATCGAGGACGTGGCCGCGACACAGGGGGAGGACGTGGCACCTTTGGTGGCAGACATGTTGACCTTGGCAAGAATCTTCGTCAGTGCATACATTATGGACGGACTAATCACATCTCTGAGAAGTGTTGGGAGAAGTTTGGTCGACCTGCATGGGCCAAGATTGCTGATACTACACCTACCTCTGTTGCTTCTCCTACTACTACTGCTCCCTTCACTATTCAGATTTCTCAAGCTGAGTATGACCGGTTGCGTCAACTCGATCTCTCTCAGAATAATTATTCTGCTACTCATGCATCCTCCTCAGGTATTGATGCCTACATTGCCTCTCCTCATAGACCATGGGTATTAGATTCTGGCGCTTCTTCTCATATGACGGGTCTTAAGGACCACTTTATTTCCTTAAACCTTTCTGACAAGTTTCCATCGGTCCGGATCGCTGATGGGACATACTCTCCAGTTCTTGGTGATGGAGTAGTTCATGCTACTTCATCGCTTACTCTTACTGATGTTTTATATCTTCCTAAATTTCCTGTTAGTTTACTTTCCATCAGTCAATTCACAAAGCACAACAACTGCAAAGTCACATTTTTTCCTTCTAATTGTGTTTTTCAGGACCTAGCAACTGGAATGACGATTGGTTCGGGGCATGAGAGAAGAGGCATGTACTATTTGGATGACAATATGCCTGCTACTGGTCTTGTTGCAGATAAGTCTGATAATCCTTTATTATGGCATCAACGACTTGGTCATCCATCGTTATCGAAGCTTAGGTCTGTCATTTCTATCCAGTCTTCTATTTCTTCTTTAGATTGTGAGTCTTGTGAACTGGGTAAGCACCATCGTGCTACTTATCCGAATCGTATTGATAAACGCAGCAGTTCTGCATTCGAGTTAGTTCATTCTGATGTTTGGGGTTCATGTCGTATACCTTCCGTGAACGGTTACATATATTTTCTTGTCTTTATTGATGACTTCTCGCGCATGACTTGGCTTTATCTTTTAAAAGAGAGATCTGAGGTTTCCACCTTTTTGAAATATTTTATAAAGAAATCAAAAACCAATTTTCCACCTCTATTCGTATCCTTCGTACCGATATTTCTTGTCTTTATTGATGACTTCTCGCGCATGACTTGGCTTTATCTTTTAAAAGAGAGATCTGAGGTTTCCACCTTTTTGAAATATTTTATAAAGAAATCAAAAACCAATTTTCCACCTCTATTCGTATCCTTCGTACCGATAATGCTTTGGAATACATGAAACATGATCTCTCTCGTTTTTGTGCAAATATTGGTATTATCCACCAAACATCATGTTCTCACACTTCACAACAAAATGGAGTTGCTGAAAGGAAGCATAGACACATTTTAGACGTTGCTAGAACCCTGATGGTGCATATGAATGTATCAAAGTATTTGTGGTCTGATGCGGTCCTCAGTGCATGTTTCCTGATCAATAGGATGCCCTCTCCTGTTATTAATGGTAAAATACCATTCACCTGCCTTTATCCTGACAAAAGGCCTTTTCCTGTGATTCCTCGAGTTTTTGGTTGTACTTGCTTTGTTCAGGATTTGTCTCCTGGACTGGATAAACTATCTCCACGGTCTATTAAGTGTGTCTTTGTAGGCTACTCGTGTACTCAAAAAGGGTATCGATGTTATAATCCATCCACCAGGAAATATTTTGTGTCTGCCGATGTAACCTTTTTTGAGTCGGTTCCATACTTCTCCTTGACTGGTTCACCCCCAACTGTCAGTCCATCTGTGCCCCTTCCGTCTATTGCTCCTACTGCTGTTTCACTACCTGTTTCAGTTCCTACTGCTGATGGATCTTCTCCAGGACTACAAAATGCTTCCACTATGCCATCTGCACCACCACCTCTACTGACTTATTGTCGTCGTTCAAAAGTTCCTGTCTCTCTCTCTGCTCCAGCCGAACATTCATCTCCCGTTGCAGGTCTGCCTCCTTCTACTCCTTCTGATCTAGATATTCCAATTGCTCAGCGAAAAGGTAAACGGTCTTGTACTAATCATCCTATATCTGATTTTGTTTCCTATGACCGTCTTACTCCCTCTTCTCGTCAGTTTGCTTTGTCCTTGTCCTCTATATCTCTACCCAGGTCATATGAGGAGGCCGTATTAGATCCTGCTTGGAAACATGCCATGGATGAGGAGATGGATACACTTGTTTCTAGAGGGACTTGGAATCTTGTATCTTCTCCAACGGGCGCTACTGTAGTTGGCTGTCGGTGGGTTTATACCTTGAAGTATCGTACCGATGGTTCAATTGATCGTTATAAAGCTCGTCTTGTTGCTAAGGGATATACTCAAACCTATGGGGTCGATTATCTTGAGACGTTCTTCCCCGTAGCCCGTCTCAATTCCATTCGCCTACTTTTCTCAATGGCTGTTAATCTGGACTGGACAATGTTTCAGCTGGATGTTAAAAATGCCTTTCTGTATGGTGACTTGCAGGAGGAAGTCTATATGGAGCAACCTCCAGGGTATGTTGCTCAGGGGGAGAATACGGTCTGCAAGCTTAAAAAGGTAATTTATGGTCTCAAACAGAGTCCACGGGCATGGTTTGAGAAATTTAGTACTGCTATATCTGGTGTCGGTTTCAAACGATGTCAGTCTGATCACTCCGTCTTTATCCGACGCACGGGAGTGACCTTGTTGCCATAGGAGAGACTAAGGAGTACCTTTCACGTCACTTTGTGACCAAAGATATGGGAAAACCCAAATACTTTCTTGGGATTGAGATTGCATATCAAAAGGATCGTTTACTTCTATCTCAAAGGAAATATGTATTGGACCTTTTAGAAGAAATGGGCCTTTTGGGGTGTAAGCCAGCAAACACTCCCATGGAAGTGAATGTGGACTTGTGGCGTGATAATAGTCCTCTCCTAGATGATGCAGGCCGATATCGAAGATTGATTGGCAAGTTGATCTTTCTTATTGTGACTAGACCTGATATCACCTTTGCAGTGGGAGTATTGAGCAGGTTTATGCATATACCTAGAGAGGTTCACTGGACTGCTGCTCTAAGAATTTTGGCTTATGTTAAAAGCTGTCCGGGAAAAGGATTACTGTATAAGAAACATGGACATTTACACATCTCTGCCTATTCTGATGCTGGGTATGCGGGAGATATAGGAGATAGAAAGTCTACTTCTGGATTTTGCACCTTTATTGGAGGAAATCTGGTTACTTGGAGGAGCAAGAAACAAGATGTAGTATCTCGATCTAGTGCAGAAGCAGAATACAGAGCTATGGCTCACACTGTTTGTGAGATGATATGGGGAAATCTGGTTACTTGGAGGAGCAAGAAACAAGATGTAGTATCTCGATCTAGTGCAGAAGCAGAATACAGGGCTATGGCTCATACTGTTTGTGAGATGATATGGCTACAGAAGCTGCTGACCGAGCTTGGCTTTTCGCAGCCTGGATCTATGCCTATGCATTGTGATAATCAATCTGCTATCCACATTGCAAAGAATCCAGTGTTTCATGAGAGAACTAAGCACATTGAAGTTGATTGTAATTTTGTCAGAGATGCTTGGGAAAAAAAAGTGATATCTCTTCAGTTCACTCCATCTTCGGAATAGTTAGCTGACATTCTCACTAAAGCTACTTCACCTAATGTGTTTTCCATTCTATGTAACAAGCTGGGCATTATATATATATATATATATAGCAGTGTCCCCATACCTTATCTTTTACAAAATTTTCGTGTCCCGCACCTGTACCCGTATCTATGCAATCTAGGTTATATGGAAGTATAAACTTGAAGAAAGATGTTGCTCTGGTTTATTGGTTTCAGATCCTACTTTACATCTTGAGTTGTCTGTTCATATATATTTTTTTCCTTTACTCACGAAAACAAATCTTCAGAGAAAGAACAGTGGATTTGAACTTAAATTTTTTGATAGATTTTCTTGCTTTGTGCATTTCGTGTTTTCCTTAAGACCATGTGGCAAATGTCTCTCGACTGTTGTATTGCTGATTATCTCTGTTGCACTATGCAGACAAATCTTATGCTTTTTAAGGTCTAATATACCTGTTTATGCTACATAGTGAATTTATTTCAGGTGATTAGCTAGAAAAAGGAAAACAGGTTTGGTTCTAGTTTTACTATCAACTCTCATTTATCTTTTCTTGTTGTGCATTCACTTATCAGAGACTAGCAGCTGGTGAGTGGTTTACAGCTCGAGTTTCTTCATGCGGACTGTTCCATATTGCCTATCCAAGTGCGCTGGATCCTTTGAAAGCAGAACTAAGGTCTATATATGGTCAGTTGTGTCAAGATGACATGCCTATGGTGAGAAGGTCTGCGGCAACTAACCTGGGAAAGTTTGCAGCTAAAATTGAACAAAGTTATTTGAAGACAGACATCATGTCTTTGTTTGAGGATCTAACTCGTGATGGTACATTGTTTCTTATGATACATATTTTTTATGCTTACCTACCATACATAACACTAAAAGTCTTATGTTTTCGACCATTTGGTATCAGCTGTATGACTCCTTATTCTCAAATTTGGTTCTTTTCTGGTAATTGCACGCACAAACACACCACACACTCTCCCTCCCTCCCCCTCTCTCTCTACCTTCCTCCAGTTATTGACTAATTTATATTCTGGTAATTGCACACGCATACATATACACACACTCCTGCTCTCTCCCTCCCTTCCTCCCTGGCCCTCTGCCTCCCTCCCTCCCTCCCTTCCTTCTCCATCCCCCCGCCCCCCTCCTAAAAAAAAAGGAGTAATTTATATTTACTGATTAATGAAAGCACTAAAACTGGTAGTCGTATTGTGCATCGAAATAAGTTCATTAACGAATGTTATACATTGAATAACTTCTTAAACTGCTTAAACAGAATCTATAAGTGACTTGTTAAATTTAAAAGCATCTGCTATACATTCTTCACATCCTCAATGACTAGACCTTATTACTTAAGAATGTTGGTGAAATCTAAACCAGCGACCATTTATGTTTTTTTGCCCCTTTAGAGGTGAAATAGAAGATGCTTCAAGCTATCAGTTTTCTTTAATTAACGAATCTGGACTGGTCTGTTGATTTGCATCCCTAGCTACTGATAAGTATGGAATGATTTTCCCTGACATTGAATTTTCTTTGAAATGTTTCTCTGAAATGTTTCCCTTTAAACATTGTGACCAATAGATATTGATGGTTGCTTCATCATGCTTGCTTGAGATAGGTAAAAGATAGGTGTTGATAGGTGTTTGCTTTATCGTAAAAGATAGCTGTTTGCTTTATCATAATTGCTTCAACCATCAGATAGGCTATAGAACATGGCCTATAGCCTTCTGAGTGCTTGATCACAAAACTCACAAAATTATAAAGGAAAATTTGTTGACCTTTTCTGGTTGCATGTTAGATGGATAATAAATGCCCTATATTAATCAGATAATATACAATCCTAAATACTGGGCGTGAGGAAGTTTTGATGCTGGACTTATTTCGATTTGCTAACCTAATTTAATTAGCTAAGTCATGAAACTTGTGAGACACTACCAAGATCCTCAGGATGGTGTGGGGATCTGGGCTCATTGGAATGCGTGTATTGAATCTTTAGATTCTTGATTCCTCAATAACAACTGATTTGATAGACAGTAGCAAACTGGAGACCTGCAATGTTAATTATGTAGTTTAAAGAAAAGCGAAGAACAATCAACTAGTGCACAATAGATCAGTTTTGTATGACAAAATCTACCACGTGAGCTATTAACTTATGCTGATACTAAAGTGTCTGCCAACTCCTTAATCCTTATGAATGTTTAACAAAAAATTTATAAGAAGTAAATTTTCAACAGGACAAAGATATTTAAGGGGTTGCTTTCCTTTCCTTTTTGTTTTTTAACTAAGAGGTAAGTACGTATCATAAACTACCAATGGCAACTATAATGGACAAATAAAAGTCTAATGTAGTAGCAGAATAAATCAAATTTCCTGTTTCTTATTGGCAGAAACATAGAAATTGTGACCCCTCTAAAAGTCCAATCTCCATGCTTGTATGTGTCATATTTGAAGAAACTCTCTATATTGGAAGAAACTCTCTCGTATGTCTGTTTGACCCTAAATTTACATTGTTTGGGGAATTGCTGGAGTTGAACATCATGGTGTTTTGCAAGTGATTGCGCTAGCCGGGTTTTTTCTCAGTTTATTTCTCAGTTTATTTCTCACACATATTCAGCTGATATATATATTTTCACTGATAATTGTAGTGTTTACTTGCAAAAGTATGTGACCACTTTGTGTGCTCGTTGTCTATTGGTTTTTTTTTTTACTTTCAGATTCTCCTGAGCATATGGGCTTCACCTTTTCCTATATTCAGTTTTATTAATCATACAATGCAGCAGTAGTGTAGTGACAACTTTTATGTCAAATCTTTTGGGTTGGTTACTTTAATATTATTTCCAGATATTTGTAAGGGTAGTCTAAGGTGCTAAATTAGAAACTGTACCCATTTTACTAATAGATAATCTAAAAGCAATTTTGTTTTTGCTTATAATGCATATTTATCACACAATTCCTTCTCAGATCAAGATTCTGTACGTCTGTTGGCTGTTGAGGGTTGTGCAGCGCTAGGGAAGTTGTTGGAACCCCAGGACTGCATTGCACATATACTTCCAGTTATTGTTAATTTCTCACAGGTAATCACATGCTGTGTGGACCAGTTTCGCTTTAATGAGAATTTTTCTGAGTCGTAGTGTAATTTGGAAAGCCGGCTTTCTATTGTCGCATGAAAGTGGTAACTACTTCCTCATGACTTTCTAAGCTTGCGTTGATATTCTTAATAGGATAAATCCTGGCGTGTTCGTTATATGGTTGCAAATCAGTTGTATGAGCTTTGTGAAGCTGTTGGGTCAGAGCCTACCAGGTAGGTCTTGGCAATTTGAGGAAATTCTTGTTAAGTATACTTCAGTGTAGAGCCTGCTGATCATGTTAGGCTTGTTTGTTCTGTTGATTTCCTTGGTTGCATTTTTCAATTACCTACAACTTCTGATATACAGTGAGATTCTTAGAATACATGTAATTTCTCTAGGGCGGACTTGGTGCCAGCATATGTTCGGCTACTTCGTGATAACGAGGCTGAAGTACGCATTGCTGCTGCCGGGAAGGTGACAAAGTTTTGCCAGATCTTGGACCCACAACTTGCAATTCAGCAAATCCTTCCTTGTGTAAAGGTATCTATGCCTTATAGTAACGTCTCTTGACAATTTATTCTCTTTCCCAGAGGCCAGAACGGACCACTATTTTACTATCATCTTTACATTTTTTTGATGTTCCTAATTGTCCTCTGTTACACATGTACGGATTTCTAGGAACTGTCATCAGACTCATCACAGCACGTTCGATCAGCTCTGGCCTCGGTAATCATGGGTATGGCTCCCGTCCTGGGAAAGGTATTGAGACACACTATGATACTTGATATGTTAAAACATACAATAATCAAACAATATCTCTCACGTTCATTTTTGTTGCATATAGTCATCTGTTAATCTCTTGTCTGAATGCTTTCATATTCAGGCTCTTTACCTGTTTGTCTTTATGGGGAGACACACACTATTATACTTGATATGTTAAAGCATACAACAATCAAACAATATCTCACGTTCATTTTTGGGTGTGTATAGCCATCTGTTAATCTCTTGTCTGAATGCTTTCTTATTCAGGCTCTTTACCAGTTTGTTTTTATGGGAGACACATAGGTTATCCTGTCACTAACCTATGTGATTAGGCTAGCAACTAGGCCAAAGAATTCAATCTTCTTAAACAACTGATATATGAATGTCATATCTTAAAGTCTGTTCATATGTTTGTTATATTTTTAAAGCATATTAGAATTTATGTAAAACGAAAATAAAATAAAATAAAACATGGTAATAATTTTGACTATCCTATGCATAAAGTTTGACACAACCTTAGATACAAGTTCTATTTCTATAAAATCTTGGGATAAGTTGATTTGCCATACCAAAACAAAACTAGTCAGCTAGTTCAGATCTTTGTTTTTTTCATTCTGTGGTCTGATCTGATAGAACTTGTATATTTGAGTAAACATGCTAGGGTTTCAACTAGGTACTTATTTTTTTGGTTGGTATCGGCAAAAACCGGCTAAAATCATTTCTAAATTATTGTTTTGGTTGGTATTGGCGAACAAGTTTTTTAATCATCTGAAGAAAATCATTTCTAAATTAAATGATTAGTTTTTTTATTATTCTAGAACTTCTCTAGCTGTCTACTACAACTCCTTGTAAACTGCTGAAATTGAGTAATTTTTTTTTAATGAAGTTGGGTAGGTGATCCCCTGAACCCTACTATTTCTGTGCTGTCTGTGATTGCTCTCTCATTTGTCTAAACTTGGGCATCCTCTACAGGTGTAGACTACCTATTAAAGTGCCTGGCTAGCCTAGGCACTATGTTTTCTAGGATCCAAGGTCGCTATGTAGCTTGAAACCTTGACAAACGATGGTCTCCTTGGCAATGAATTTGTCACGCCTCAAGACCAACAACCAAGTCCCGAGCCCATGACTTGGCTAGGCAATATATGCAATTGACTCAAACTCCACCAAAAGATACCATATCATAATCCACCTGTACCATATCACAATATAGATCACATTACTATCCATAGGGCAATATACATGATAGGAATAAACATTGGAAATTGAACTGAAATAGATATAGAAACAAGTCTGATACAACTCCGTATATAATAGAGTATAAATACTAGTCTAATGTCTGAATACAAGAATAAGACTATAAGCTCTCAACTAATACATAATCTCAACTGAAAGGAATACAACTTAATGCTAAAGATGAATATAGATGCTGATGGAGGAAAAGGACTACGGTACTTCTGTTGTCTCAGGCTCATGACTGGAGCATCTAACCTGTTGGGACCTACAAAAAGATAATAGAAAAGATACAAGTCTGGCATACAAGTCCATGTATGTCAGGTTAGTGAGATTAGACCAACAAGTGCCCCAAGACCAGGAAGGCAAATAACTGATTTGCAAAAACTGGTGAAAATCCTTTTTCAAAACAAGTATTGAAAACAGATGAGAAAACCGGTACTGAAATCAATTACCAAAAGCCAATAGGCAATCTGATAACAAACTGAAGTGATATGAAAGGAACACATACAAGGACATGACATAGAGCTATCTACAAACAGAAACAAAGTGTATAAGTACAAAGGTCCAAGTGTGTGTGAAACATCAGAAATACATCTTGGAAAACACAGAACTCACTCGCATCCCATACTACAAGCTCATACCATGTCCACTCCAAGCCTATTAACCTAGTATATGTCTTTATCTTGTTTGGAATTAAGTGGTGAGGTTACCCCAGATCCAAGACTCATAACTCATGTCTAATAACTCATAATTCACTTTCTACAATGTACCATGCCCGAGGTGGCTTACGCGAATCAAATATATCTCATCACAGATATTACAACAGAAATAACCAATTTAGCACATGCAGGAGATATAACAAACAATAAAACTAACTGATTTAACAAGTCTAGCAAATATACAATCCAACAGAGATAACATAGTTCATCACATTTACTTGCTCTTGATTTCTTACTCATTAACCTTCAATTGATGTACTAGGTCATGCCGATTACAGCCTCAATATATGTTGGGTTCTCACCATTTAATTTCCTCGTTAAAATCCCAAGTTATCTTCTTTTTAGTTTAATAAATAGTACATGAAATGTTATCTAGTCCTTGAATAGATTAGTGAATGCCCCCAGTGTCTACGGATTATCCAACAATTGCCATATAGGGGATCAGTCTATATGACACGAACATACAAGGTACGGAATCCATAACTGTAAATCTCAATGTGACTCGATACATGTCCAACAGAAACTCATACCCCTAATGTAGTATATCATGTCCGATACCAAATAAGCAGATCCAGTTCAACAATCAAACAGTAACATGCCCTAGATCAAGCACATGATGCCCAATAACAAACATATACAACAGTAAGATGTTATCCAATTTCCATTCGCCATAAATCTTAATAAACAAAGGAATAATCATGTCAAAGAGTCACAATCAACATTCCCAAGCTGTAGCCCGTATCCATGTACGGCCCTCATGTAATGTACCACCTATCATGTCATTAGGTCTCAATCTCATAGGTTCATACCATCAAGCACATAGCAACATAAGAGAAGCTACCATCTATGTGTCCAACAAGCATGGCAATACCATGAATTATCAAAAAGTATATCTTTCTGTAAAACTATCAAAACTGCACTTATCCATAACCGTAAATCTCAATGTGACTCGATACATGTCCAACAGAAACTCATACCCCTAATGTAGTATATCATGTCCGATACCAAATAAGCAGATCCAGTTCAACAATCAAACAGTAACGTGCCCTAGATCAAGCACATGATGTCCATTAACAAACATATACAACTGTAAGACGTTATCCAATTTCCATTCGCCATATATCTTAATAAACAAAGGAATAATCAAGTCAAAGAGTCACAATCAACATTCCCAAGCTGTAGCCCGTATCCATGTACGGCCCTCATATAATGCACCACCTATCATGTCATTAGGTCTCTATCTCATAGGCTCATACCATCAAGCACATAGCAACATAAGGGAAGCTACCATCTATGTGTCCAACAAGCATGGCAAATTGGCAATACCATGAATTATCAAAAAGTATACCTTGTTGTAAAACTATCAAAACTACACTTATCCAAAAACCAAAATTGAAATCCAATTGTGCAAGGTTGTAGAGGAGTCAAAGAGCCTTTCAAAACATCTTGAATCGTCAAAAATGGATTTCGGAGTCAAAAGTTATGATCATTCAAATTTGACTAGAACAACATTCTTCCAAAACTGTACCTTTTCTTTTGGTAAAAAAAAAAATCTGAAATCTGTACTTATCTGAAAAACAAAACAGAAAATCAACTATGTAGGATTGTAGATGACTCAAAGAGCTTCCAGAACATCTTGAATCATCGAAAATGGAGTTTGGAATCAAAAAGTTATAGCGATTTGAAAATGACAAGACAGGCAGCCCAAGCAAGCATTGACCCTACTTGGAACAAGCGACACTGCTCTTGGAAACCTGCATTTTGACCCTTTTCAATCCATAATTCGATTAAAAAATGACCAAAATCAAAATTTATTTCGACCCATGATTTCTACATCCACTTTTCATCAAAAATCCACGAAGTTAGAAAATACAAGAGCAAATGAAAATTTCTGAGTTTTCTCAAATGGGCTCTTTCAAATCTCAACAACAAACATCTCAAATGCTCCAGATCTATATTACACATTAATAGGGACCAAACCCCATGAATTTTACAACAAAACTCATAGATTTAACATAAAAATATTAATCAACCATGAAGAGGGAACTATATAATATATAAACTCTAATATCTAATAAGCATGGTTCATCTCCATCCAATCTAATCCAAAACCAATCCAAACAACCATAGAATGAAAAACTAATCAATACCAATGATAGAGGAGATATAATCTAACATAATAACTGGATTTTTTTGAAAATAAAGGAGGAGAGAGCACTTTCTTTGGATTGAAGTTTTCCGTTCTCCAAGTCTTCTCTCTTTCTTCCTAGGGTTTGGGCTCAAAGAATGGAGAGGAGGCTGCTATTAAGGTTGGTATTTATAGGGTATCAAAATAATATTTTCGGATTTAAACTAATAGGGACCTGTTAAGAAACTGGTTTTAAAAATACTAGAAAAAATATTTAAAATCACCATAAATCATCTAAAATCAATTGGAACAACTTTGATATAAAATTTTTTGTGAAAAGATGTGTAGATTTTGAAATATAGATTGAAACTCAGAAATTCGTCAATCGGCAATCGATGGTTGAAATCAAATCATACATGAATCCAATTAAAACCATGAAACAATTTAAACCAAAATTAAATTATGAAACCAAATCATGATGGAAAAAATATGGGTGATGAGTGATCGTGACACATATTATGAATGTGAAGGGTGAGGTGATCAGTCGAAATCGACGGTGGAGATTGTATGATGAACGATCAATGGTTGAGATCAAAAGTTCCAGATACACGGGATTAAAAGGGATTACAGAATTAGTCTAAAAGCCTTGGCCAGAAAATGATATGAGTTTTACTTTGTGGGGGACAACGCCCTTACTACTTTGTCTATGTTTAGAACTCTTTATACTTCTCTTTAGTTATGGAATATCAGTGTTATTTATGGAATCCATTTGTTGCCTTACATATTGTTAACAGGGAGCCTTGCAAATCGTACCTACAACATCTTAATTTCAGATTTCCTGAATTCTAATGTCATGCACCAGGGATGTTATGCGCATGGATGGTTTTGCATGATAAATCTGCTTATGATACTTATTTGGTTGTATGAAATTTCATACATGTCAGATGCTTTAGAATCAAAATTTGTTGTTTCAGTTTTAATACTCTGCAATTAAATATATGGCCAGCAGTACTTAACTAGCTATTGAAATGTTAGTTTTGCCTTTTAAAATGGGCAGCTTTGTTATGTTTTTGTTTCCTCTGCTATCCTTGTTATACCTGTCATATTTAATCTACATATGGTTTGTGCTAATAGCAACTTATCAAATTGTTCTGTGCAAAGAGTTTTTCTCCTTAAATAGTGTAGTGAGTTGGGAAAATATATAACCTCCCTATCATCTACTGTATTTTGTTTGATAACTAAGCTATTTATTGATTTTTGTTGCAGGATGCAACTCTTGAGCTACTCCTTCCCACGTTTTTGTCTCTGCTAAAGGATGAATTTCCTGATGTTCGGTTAAATATTATCAGCAAATTAGATCAAGTTAATCAGGTAGTTTAGTTCTGTACATTCAATCAAGTGTCATCAATTTATTAACACACTCTATCATGTGCTCGAGAAGCTGTTCTTGCTTGAATATATTTTCTTTTCCTTTTCAGTTCTAAAGATTATTGGATTCACACAAAGTTTTGACAAGTTATTCATTTGATATACACGCAAGAGTTAGAAAACAATTTTTATTGGCATACTCTACTTTGTTTACCAGACCTATGATTGTACCCCACAGGTCTCGCAGATGTTAATGTTGATCATTTTTCTTTTTGTATTATGAACAGAAATCTAAAAGACTAGACAATCTGGCGATAGTGCATTTAGTAACTGATTATCAAGTTGACAAATTGGTTTAGTCTGATCATTCTGTAACTTGCGGAATCTAGTCCAAGGAACCTTTATTTTTACAAAGTCCTGGTCTGACTTTTTTTAATTAAAATTCACATGTCTGGAGGGAGTTGGTTGGTGAGAATCGATTTATTATAGTGAAGAGTCGTTGATATTTAATGGACTTAGCTTTATGAAATATTGACTGATCTTTTTAGGATATTGGCTTTCATGTGGTTTACTGTAGGAAACAAATGCTTTACTGATTAGCTGAAGATATTTTTCAGGTGATAGGAATCGATCTGCTGTCTCAATCATTGCTACCAGCAATTGTGGAGCTTGCAGAAGATAGGCATTGGCGTGTCCGGCTTGCCATAATTGAATACATTCCTTTGTTGGCCAACCAGTTAGGTGTTGGGTTTTTCGATGATAAACTTGGTGCCCTTTGCATTCAGTGGCTAGAAGATAAGGTATGCTGAATTCCTAATAGTAATGTCAAAAGAAGTTACAATTTTCTTTTGTCTTTGAAGCTTCATGTTTCACACCAACTTCCTCTATGGTTTTCTTTACCTTTTCTTTACCACCGCTTTTTATATACCCATATTTCAAAGTCTGTTCCCTTCAGAAAGTCTATTTATATCTGACAAGATTGTCATGATGAAAAGTGAGCTTGAGATTTATCCATCCTGAGGATTTTTCTCTCTTTTCAAATTTTTGGTTGAGGAATAAATTTGGCTTGGCCAGCTGAGATAGCATTATGCCATCCGGCTTGTTATGCATCATCACTTTTTTCTTGCGACCTTGTGATTGGTTTGCTTGCACTAATTTAACAAGTATCCTGTTGGTTTAACATCATAAAAAGTGCGAGCAGTGAGCACCCTGCATGGTCACATTATTCACGCCCTTGTTAGAAGTTACAAGTCGATGATGCAGACTGTTGCGTGCTAAATGTTGGTAAGATGTACAAATGACATCTGTAAAAATGAACAAATGTTGATAAGATGTACAAATATCACCTGTAGAAATGAAAGTGATTATGTGAAACCATTCTTTTGGTTCCAAAGGCTGCTACAGTTCTGATACATGCCACTCTGAAGTGAAATTAACTGGTTTTTTAATCTGATGAAGATGTTTTTTTACTTGTTACTAGAACGGTTATAATAAAAGCTCATTCTTTTACTTTTTCCCCAGTTGTTGACAAGGATGAACACGGATGTCCCAGATTGCTCAAGCAAGATATAATATGAGTTATCTATGTTCAATCTATTCTCTTTCTGACATTCGTTATTTTATAGGTTTATTCAATTCGAGATGCAGCTGCCACTAATTTAAAGCGTCTTGCAGAAGAATGTGGTGTGGAATGGGCCCTGCAGCATATAATTCCACAGGTCTTTCTCACAACTCTTACTTCAAAGTGGTAATAATTCTATAATTATCTTCTGCATGGTATACAACATTTATTGCCTCTTGATTTAGCACCCTTTGTGAGAACACTATTTCCCCCCTAAGAATGCATAAGAAACATTAGATACTTTTGCCCTTCACCCATCATGGTAGGTTGATATCAAGTTATAAAGTGTCTCATGTCGCGTGCCATGGTTGACTTTAGACCATTATTTACTGAATCAGATCTTGTTAGATACTATGGTGGATGTTGCCATCTATTATTGTAATATACGTCACATGTTTGTTATCGTAGCGTATGTTACAAGTTTCTTCTAACCAACAGAAGTCTGTTATTGCTTCAGCTACATATTTTCATTCATTCACAGTAGGAGTCTCATGTATGTTTACTTCATTAGATTATCTGACGTCTTCTGTATTCTGCAAAGTTCTGCATAAATGTTGGGTGTAGTGTTATCCATAACAACAGAGGTATTCTTTCTAATATTGGGTTAGTGGTCCTCATACTTTCAACCGTATTTGAGTATCCACCTAGGATGGAATGCTTCTTCATATATGAACTTGTTAAACTGAATTCCTCGACTTTCTTCCCAATGTTATTATGAACACCTGGAGAATGAAATGAATAGAATCTTGATCGCATTTGCAGTAAGTGTATGGATGCCATAAACTTGTGACCCCTTTACATGTACTAATAAAGGTAATATTGCTTTGATGGAAAAAGAACTTCAAGTAACTTGTGATGCAGGACAACTTAAGGTTAAGTTGATTTCATTTGGAAATTTAGTTTGGATTTTATTTAGGAGATTTTATTTTAGCTGATAGGGATTTGCAATTTGAGAGTTTATCTTTTTAGATGTTTATTTTAGAGGGATTTGCAGTTTGAGAGTTTATCTTTTTAGATATTTGGTTAGGACAATATTTTCATTTTATTAGATAAGATTTAGGTAATTAATGTTATCTTTAGAATTTAAGTTTATTCTATAAATAAGTTTGTATCTTCCATGAGGAAAGGACATTAATTGTTGAATAAAATTATGATTATGTGAGAATTTTGGAGTGATTCCACAAGGTGTGAAGCCATTTATCCAAGGCTAGATGATGTGAGTGAATTTGGTCTGTCCTATCATTTTTTTATCTTAGATTTTTTCTAAACAAGTCAAAGTTACTGTTCACAATAGGTTAGTGTTTATAATTGCTGTTTATTCATTGTCAAAAGATAATCCAATCCATTTTCCAACGACGTTTTCAATTTTAAATTCAATCAGATACTGTTTCCCGTCAACTTGCTTTCAGTTTATTCATCTGCAGGAAAATATGGTTATGGATAACGATTTTGTGATTGGATGTGCAAAATGCATTTTTTGTGTCCTAATTGTAAAAATAAAAAATAAAAATAAAAAGTAAAATAATTACCACCCTCAAATTTAGATGTCATTCAGATTTCTTAAAACTAACAACAGGGAAACAGTTGTCAAATCTTTCTGCACGTCTTTTTTTCTTTTTTGTTAAATTGCCATACAACAAGGAAGTGGACTTGCATATTCATCATTATGAAATACTATTTGATTTCTTTCTCAGGTGGTGGACAAGATCAACAGTCCACATTATCTATATCGCATGACCATTCTTCATGCAATTTCCCTGCTAGCCCCAGTCATGGGTGCAGAAATCACTTGCGAAAAACTGTTACCTGTGATTGTTGCTGCCTCCAAAGACAGGTAAAAGCGCCAACTTATCTACATTAGGCATTTCATGTCATATTGTTTGTGAGCTTTAAGTTCGTAAAATATCATGTTTTGATTATGAAACTTGCTCTGCCAGGGTGCCAAACATAAAATTTAATGTGGCAAAGGTGTTGCAGTCTCTTGTGCCTGTAGTTGACCATTCTGTAAGTACTAGATACCTAAGCAGCAAGAAAGCATCCAATAAACTGGTCCATAGCATTGTTGCCCCGCCAAAGGGATGTCGAATCAGTGCATAAATTTCCTAGTCCCTCCAAGTTTATTAATCTAAGAGCTGCTACATGATTAATGCTATGGACCGAAACTATTGAATATCTTCTTGCAGCATCACCTTCCGTGTTATTTTCGTACTTTTGGTTGTTTTTGTGTAAAAAACTCGAGATGCATATTTGTTTTTGTGTAAAAAACTCGAGATGCATATTTACAATTTAGAGAGTGCAGGTGGTGGAGAAGACAATTCGGCCATGTCTAACTGAGTTGAATGAGGACCCAGATGTTGATGTCAGGTATTTTGCCGGAACGGCACTAGAGGCATGCGATCAGGTCATGGTTTCTTGAGCCCTGTAGTATTTTGTCAAGTTGCATTGTTGACAAGGAGTTCTGCATCCTCAACTCTTTACTGAGTTCAGTGATGAACAGAAGAAGTTAGTTTGTTCCTTTTGTTATGTTTGGCAATGGTTGGTAATTTATTTCCTGATAACTGAACACTATTTTTGGAATTTAAAGAGTTTTTTTTACACATTTTGGATGGTTCGGTTCTCCAGTTTCCTCTTTTTTTTATTAGAAACAATATCTACTAATTTCCTGTTTGAAAATAGTTTGGTTATGTTGTGCTTGTATTTAGGGGGCGTTATTCGTTTGGGATCATATGATAGGACATGTATTGTTGTCTAAAAATCCTACATTCTAGGATTCGAATAAGGACTATGATTTTTTTTTATTAAAGTCCTTGACTTATATGAAGGATCCTAGAATAAGGACTATGATTTTTTTTTATTAAAGTCCTTGACTTATATGAAGGCTTTTTAAGCGTTTGGATGGATTTTTGGATTGAATGTTAAATAACTATTAACAAACATTACTACTATTTCAAGATTATATAATTATTATTTAATTAGTAATTTTCTATAATTACAATTTTAACATTAAACTTTTTCTTCCAATTTGTATATTTAAATATATAAGCATTAAATATAATACAATTTTTTTTCAAACATGCAATACAAACATAAAACTATTTAATATTTCATGTTTTATTATATTATATATGAATTAATTATATTTAATATTACTTATTTGCTATATTTCTTTTCTTAGATTTAAATAAATATTAAATATATAAATATTTAAATATTATTGAAATAAAATATATGTTTAGTACTTTATGTTTAATTAATTATTTTATATATTTGTAATGGACAATTAATTAATATGTTTGCTATCAAATATATTAGACTATTAAATGTATAAACTTAGAATAAATATTAAAATGATTAAATAATATAAATATTAATTAGTATTAAAAATTAAATAATAGTTCATTTTAAATGTATTAAATATATTTAAATAATCTGATAAAAAAGAATTAAATACTAAATATAGTGAATATTTAATGTGAAATAGATTAAATAGCTAAAAACAGCTATTTAAATCATTTACTTTTTTCTTATTTAATTTTTAATATTAATTATAATTATATTGACATATTTGCTATCTCTTATATAATGTGCAAACAAAAATTATATTTATGTAATATTAATATGAAATATTTAAATAATTTAACAAATTGAAGATATGCTAAATAATGATATATTTAATGTTAACTAAATATCTTATATTAAATATATTTAAATAATATTAAATATATAAATTATCACATAATATTAATTAGAATATATTTATATTAACTAGAAGTGTTTGCTATATTTATATTTAAATTAACAAATATTTAAAATTGAATATATTTAATATTTGTCGAATAAATAAATAATATTTAACATTAACTAGAAGTGTTTGCTTATTATTAGTCAGTTGTGTTGTTTTTAAATGTGGACTCATTAAAGGAAAGGAAAAGAGAAAACTCAAGGAGGGAGAGCACAATCCTCCAATTTTAATTTTGATTTTTTCTAATTTTTTTTTTTCATTAGATTGTATAGAGTTGGATTGAGATTTCGATTTTGAAATCCGAGTCCTAATCATAATCCTAGACAACCAATAACACCATAAAGTTAAATATGAATTCTAGTCCTAAAGCTAATAATACAATAAAGTTAAATCCGAATCCTAGCCTAAAAACCAATAGCATCATAAAGCTAAAACCTAGAGAAAAAAATATCTTAGTCCTAATTAACACTCCTCTCCCCCCTTAGTGTTATTCTTGATTTCTTGGTACGTGGAGATTGTGATTCTCAAGCTCTGGTTTCTTTCCTACGAACCGAGAAACCCGAGAAAGGAAAAGGCTTTTTTGCTTGGGGAAATTAAGAATCTTTGTTTCAAAATTAGTCGGAAGGACGCAAATAGAATTGGCTGAAGTTGTACTGAGTGGAAATGATGATTATTTGTTGCAAATTAGCATTTCAACCCTGGGAAAATTCATGCTCTACTCTTCACGCCACCCAAGTAAACAAAACTATGAGAAAACGAAAATCCATGAAATAGGAGCTGCGACGACCTGCATGAAAGCCAAAACCAAAATCAGTTTCAGGTCAGAGGGAGGAGCTAAGTTAGTTGATATATCTTTTTTTTTTTTTTGCTTTAAGTAGGAAAAAAGAATCCCTTTGGACAAATTGCTCAATAATTCAAAGAAAAACCTTTTCCTTGGAGAAAAGTTGCTTATGATGGCTACGCAACACCTTACAACAATAGAAGAGCTCAAATAATACATATAAAATAATATTAAGAATTACTCAAGTTGTATAAATTGCAAGTGCATGCCAGCAAGAATCCCTCTCTTTCAAGCTAGTTCGGTTGTCCCCTTCTGGTCTCAGTTCTTGCAGGCCTTGAATGCAAAATCTTCAACCACTCTCTTCTTAATATCTTAAAAGTAAATTTTATCTATATACCCCTAAAAAATTTTATCTATATACCCCTCAACTATATTTATAAATTCATCTCCTAATTCTACCACATTGGGTTGAAATGCCTCAAAAATTAAGTGAAAGAACATTTTCAGGGCATTCCTAATTTACCTGTAAGTTTTTATCCGAAAAAAATTTCACTTCCACCATTCAAAAAACAACAACGTCACGTTCGGTGGGACGTTAGTTCAATATGATAGAATCGGAGCATATAATGAGAAATATTCTAGATTCAAAGGGTGAATTTGCAAATATGCTTTATGTGGGGATTGTGTAGGTAAAAAAATAATAAAATAAAATCCATAAATACATTATACAGAGTTTGATGGCTTATGGGACATGTGAAGAGTGTGATATTTTAAACGGTCGCCAACAACTGCCCCGCAAACATGAGAAGCTTGAATCTCCAGGAATGATGCGCTGAAATTACAATTTATTGGTCAGGGTCCAAATTAAATCTCAGATGGACTGTTTTGGAAAAAAATAATAATAATAATTGCATTTCCGGAATAATTCAGAGACCATTTGTATCTGTCATTGGAGTTCGAACTGTCAGAGTGAACTGCATCCTCTGAAGGACTCGAGGGCAGATGGTGTTACTTCACCCTTTTCCATTTGAAACATAACTTTTGATATTTTTGGATAAATTTCAAGAATTTATCATGAGCTTCCTAGTTTTCTTAGAAAGTCATCATGAACTTTTATTTTATTAATTACCCCATAAAAATTGATTTCTCCATACTGTTATTACGACTTTACCGAACAATTGAAATTATAGATATTTACTAATTTATTATCTAATTCTACCACATTGAATCAAAATACCCCAAACTTAATGTCTAGTTTTTGAACGGTAAAAGAGAGACATTTTAGCTAAACAATTGATGGTAAAATTAGGAATATCCTAAGAATATCCCTTAACATAATTGAAGGGTCTTAACTCAAAATGTGGTGGAATTGAGGGGGTGTTTGGCTAATTGAAAGTGAATTAAAAGTGTGAAAATTACTTTTTGCCTTTTTTTTCTTATTTCCTTTTTTTTGTTGCAATTGAGGAGGTATATTCATGTTAGCCTACAAGTGAAAGGTAGTGTTTGTTTACAAAACCAAATTATTATTGAAAGTAGAAAAAAATAACGTGGCAATATCATTTTATTTATTTATTATTTAAAAATCATATTATATTTTTAATGATCTTTTAGCTACAAATAAATGAATTAAATGTGAATGTTATTCATTAGATAAAAATTACTCCTTTATTTGTTTAACAAAAAGAATTATTTGTAAAATTTTCTTTATCTTACCATCTAGTACTCGTTTAATGGTTATAAATTCTTTTACATTATATATTTTTATGTAGCAATTTTAGTAATTGGAGGATTAAAATAGAAATAGTAAGAGTGCAAAGGACTAATATAGAAAAATCTATAAAATAAAGTCAAGTTTGAAAGTTCAGAACATATCCGCATAGAAAAAATTTTCATCAGGAGTTATGTGTTAAAAATGAAGGTTAAAATTATTTTCTAATTGATTGAAGTCATCTCCTCTCCACTTTCATATGACATCGACAATTTTTTAAGAGAAGTAGAATTGCCCATTAAATCTTATGGGACACAACTTTTGTATTTTCCTTTTATACGTACCTTCAATAAAACAAACACATCAAGTGATAAAAGTGAGTCACTTTCTCGCTTTCACTTTTCACTTTCATGTAAACAAATACGTCCTAAAGGATGCTTAGATCATAGGATTATGTAGACAGTTGATTTGCGTCACATAGGCTAAAACCTCTTTATAAAAATATAGTTGTTAAGGAAACATTTCTTAACTATCTGGATTTGGATCTTCCCCCCTCTAAAAGTAGTAGAAACTTAGGCTTGGTTTGATAGAAGGGGAGGTAAGGTAGGGTGAGAGATAAAAAATCCTTTTTGACAGAGAGTTTTAAGAGGGATATGAGGTAGAGTAGAGTAAGGAGAGAGAAACACAAAAATAAACTAGAAAGTGGAGAGAGAGAAAACCCCTTCAATTTGGAGGGACACAAGAGTAAGGTTAGGAAAGTGAAAAATGAACAAAAAAAAATAATGAACACCCCCCTTCCCAAAATCAAACAAGAACCACAAAAGATATATTATTCATTACACCTTATTGAACCTCACCTCACATTACCTCCCCTCCTCGTATCTCCTACTAAACTAAGCCTAAATCACAATCACTCACTAAGTAAACCAACAACTACTAATAAGGTGTTATATAGCTTCACTATTTTTTTGGTAGCGGAGAAGATCCAAATCATTGAGAGGCAAATTAAATATCTTAGAGAAAGAAGTAAACAGGGTAAAACATATCTGACCAATTATTTTCTTAAATGGGTGTTAGTGTGTGGTTTTCATTAATGCTATCAATAGGCCTACTTAAAAAATCCACAAGGAAAGGGGACAACCAACGTATATATTCATCAAATATTTTATGGCTATTGTATAACCATTTGGTGGAGAGAGCGTCGGTAGCCCCTTTAATAATAATTTTTTAATCCTTCCTTATTGTTATATACAAACAAAACTAACTCATGATTAGACAATCTAATCACATTACAGTTTTAATCATTTTATATAAATCTAACAGCCTCATCACAGATTGGAAGATAATTAATCTTTGTCACTCTTGGGT